ATGATTCGTCGGCGTAAACAAAGGTAAACTTTTGCAACAATCTCGTGAAGAAGATGAAAAGTTCTGGTTTTGCAAGCTGTGCTCCCACACATTCACGGCTTCCTGTTTGTAAAAAAAAACGTGATGTCAGTTTGTAACAAACAACAATGCGATAATAATAGATATTGTTGAATTGGAAGTTCAGGGTAGGATACGAGACTGACTCTAGTCGGCTGATTGTAACCGAACTATAAAATAATGAAGAAAAAAAACGTTTCGCGGAACTGGTGGAACGGTCACATGTCGATTTGAAATAGAAATAATAACTTGCCCAACTTCGGGAAACTTGCTCTCAAACAAATCAATAAACGAAGAACCAATCATTCAGACTAGACGGACAATTTAGTGTAACATGAGATTATTTTTGTCACCGGACAATCTACCTCATCGCGTAATTAAAACCATGGAACCTATGGACTATATGGAAAGTAGTGCATGAATGCAGAAACCAGTAAAACAAAAAATATATAGAAATATATATTGTATCCCTTTTATTGTCTTTAACCAAACTAACGATAAAGATCTATTTGCCTGATATCATACAAATATAACTCGAACAAGAAAAAAGATTACGACCATATACTAACATAAAAAAAGTTTATATTTTATTCATTTATCTTTTCCCCCTAATAATGTATTTTCGTCACCTGTTGATTATCACATTCACTTAAATCACATGCTGGACATGATTGTAGTTGATTCACTGGTTAAAAATACGTGAGACTAGCTATTGTTACATGGTTATATTAGAATGTAATATTACATTATGCAAATACTCACCTGCTGAAAAGGGAAGTGACGTATCTCCCTTGACAACCTCGCCTTCCTCGTTCAGGAAATGATTTGGATCAAACTTATCAGGGTTCTCCCAACATCTCTCGTCCCTGGAGACAGAAAACAAATTTACAAACACCATGGTTCCTTTTGGAATGTGGTATCCACGAAATTCGATGTCATTTGTAGTTGCATGTGGAACTGCCAATGGCAAAACTGGATTGATTCTTTGGAATTCCAAAATAGTAGCGTCAGTGAAAGGCATGTGTGGTTTATCCTCCCAACGTGGTTGGCGCTCTTTCCCAACAACGTTGTCAATTTCTTCTTGTACCTTTTTCTGAACATCGGGATTTTCCAGCATGAACATGAACGCCCATTGCAGTGACGTCAAAGTTGTGTCTGTTCCACCAAAAAATAACTCCATAACAATTTCAGAGAGGTGATAATCATCCTTAAACGTAGAAGATTCTTCCCCAGCATGTTTGTCCACATTTCGCAAGTATGCGTCAATGAGATTTGTAGGTTGTTCTTCATCATCGAGCGTGACTGATTTGCGTGATTGTTTACGGTCATTGATCTTCCCTTCAAGTGCTTTCACGACCGCACGGAACTTTGGAGTGGCGGGATCCAGATAGTCTGCAATATATACCAACCTGGGGAAAAGATCAATCGCCAAAGCCCCAAGGGTGTTCTCAAACATCTCATCCATATCCTTCAAAAGCTTACAAAAGAATTTATCGTCGAAATCGAAGCGTTCTCCAAATACAACTGTTGAGATAACGTTTGATATTGCTTTCTGTAAAGCCTGACTCGGGTCAAAACTCTCGCCTTCAGTTTCATTGAATGCTTCTACAACGTATTCCACTTCTTTTAGCATGACTTCCTCCAGAGCTTCCTTGCCCATTCCGAACCCATGGAGTGTCCTGACTGCAAACTTACGCTGCTCTTTCCACACTCTACCCGCTGTATTTACTATTCCTGAAAAATAAGCAACAGAACTGTGTGAATACATCGGAGACGTATCGTATCCTTGTTAAATCTATATTTGATATATGTTATACTTGTGAATGGCACTGTTTTCTCGTCATTGACAGCGTACGATGCATCGTATATGTAATTCTGAGTTTGGATCGTATATTAGTGTATCGCATCAAACAGTGAACATAATGCAATTTCGTTTATTTTTATAAACAACATATTTCTCGGAGTCAACTCTTTTTAAAACATTGTAATAAGTATGTGTCTTGCGCATGCTCAAAACGCGCTGGAGGGAACATCCAGACATGTGTTACTTGGCACAAAAGTAAAACAAGCTCTCCAAGGTCCCATAATGCACCACTTTCCCATTGTTTTATTTGTATTGAGAAGCCTTACAACATCATTTGATTCATGTGTGGCCAACAAGGTCAGGACACGTTATTGAATACGATGAAAAGACCGGAACCTCGCAGTGAAATGGTATGACACAAAAATGTGATAAAGTGTCTTCAAAGTTGGTTGATGAAGAGCGGAATGTAAACAAATGGTTCGAATTTAAGACATTTATCAGCAATGTATGATTAGTCGTCATCAGTTGAAATTTGATTTTTCATTTACGACGCGTTTAATGAGCTTATTGGATCGAAAAGGATCAGAGTAGTGTGTAATTAGAGCTTTACACCCGGAGTCACAAACTGTCGGCCCACGCCAATTATGACACGTTGTTAAAATTTTAACGACGGATACTGCGACGTATGTGAAATATTAGCGAATTAGTAACTTAAAGTAGATTTAATACTCCATTTAATCTCTATGGTTACTTGTCAATTGGCTATAAACAAATTGTTATTTTTCAGTTTCAAGTCGAAGCGGTTAACCACATTATATATTCATTCTCACCAGCGTTGCTGCCGTACGAACAGTCAATTTAAAATGTGACTTCAGTAAATGTTGGCATACCGGCGACTTCAAGAATTGAATCGAAAGTGGGTGTGGCATTAGGGAGTTGACAAGGTCATTTCGTGACGGGGAATTGACGTTGAATCGGAAACTAAATGTTTACTTTCTCGGTATATCGAAATATTATAAACTTAGTGACCAAATGCTATGAAATATATATCATTGGAATAATGAATCTGAATATTGTATATATATTATATAGAACGAACTTTGTATTTATCCATGAACCCACGCACCGACAATGGAGTTAACAAGATCTCAGGGCCACCAACACCGACAAATTCTTACATGTCAGTCCCGTTCATATCCGCTGGATACTGGTCACACTGATGAATGTCTGGACTTGCTGCAGTAGGTTGCAGACCAGTTTGGTTGTTTCTAAAACAAGAACGTACTGTGATATATGCGAGCGACATGACGTCATTAAATTACATTACTTACCTCTGTCTCCTAGCGATCGGCGATTCAGCCAGTCTGGGCGACCAGAAAACTGTGTCGCTTTCTTCATCAAAGCCTCTTTGACAACATCGTGTCCATTCAGCACAACGACCAAGTGACTCCCCATTCGTATGCTGAATACATCGCCGTATTGTTTTGCCCAGTGCATAAACTTAAGATGTGGTCTCTCGCCCATTTGGATTAAGTGTCCCAAGACGGGCAAGCCCCAAGGCCCTGGTGGATACCTTGCACTAGCATCGTTTTGTCGCCGCTGAATATACAACCACGTCAGAAAAATGAACAAAAATATTAAAACAGTGTGAACTTCCAGACTCCCAAACAACTCGACGAGCATCGTGTCTTGAAAACGTTGGTCCAGTGTGTAGATGGAAAAGAATGGCTACTCAATAAATACTGCTCATTCAACTCGATCTACTGCATCGAGTTCATTTGCATATGAATAGAAAAGGAAATCTAATAGGGTGTGACGTCATACTCTGACGTCAGTTCACACTGGGAACCAACCAGAGTTGCATTGCGACCTAATTTGGATGTTTGTATGTCTGAGACAGAGGTTCCTGGAAAGCGATAAATAATGTTTCTGACAAAGTAGTGAAAATAGTTGCGAAGGTCATGCATTCACATTTTTAAATAATCTATAAAACAGTAACTTGAATGAACAGGGGGATAGAGCGTAGAAAAAAAATGTTTTGAGGTGTAGTATTCTATCCTTTCAGAATTTGTTATGTATGGGCAAACCGCTGTTACTAGTAGATTTTAGAAACATACCCAATGAACGTTTTTTCAATTAAATAATAATTAATTAATTTATTTATTTAATTTATTTGCTTTCTCTGTGTGGCCGAGTTACTCTGTCAAAGTCATTTTCATTGAGGGAAAATGTAACACACGTGCTAACTTAAAAAAAAAGTATTTGACTTCAACATGGTTATCAGAGAATTTACACACAGACTCAGATAAAGATATTACTAACATTATCAAAATATTCAGGAATTTTGAATAAGAAATTTGCACAGGGAAACACCGTAGAATGAAGAATTACATAAATTTAAAATGTTGGCGATTGAAAATAAAGGGTCGGCAAGGGGTATTTTCGTAAGCTGTAATCAATTGTTTTTATTTTCGTAATAATGTAATTTAAATAAATAAAAAATGTAAATGTAGACCCAAGATGTAAAATGTTATCAGCTATTTCATTTTTATTTGTACTAAGATATTATTTTTTGTAAGCGTATATAAACATTTTTTTTAAATTAAATGTAATTCGTACGCAATTTCCAATTTTGATTCTTAAACACAAATTATCAAAAATATTATAAAATTGTAAACTGTAATTAAGAATTTGCTGTAAACTGTAAAAAACCCATTTGTTACTGTAAAGGGAACTTTTATTTTATTTCCTGTAGAAACGTAAAATGCCGTTTTTATTTACCGTAATCTGTACCAGCTACCCCCTTGCCCCCCTAAAATATGTTGACCATAAGCCAAACGTAACGATCGAGTTACTATAATTTAAAGTTTAAGTTAAACCATATATGTACTGTGATAACAGTCGTTAAAAGTGTTTCCTAAACAAGCAACCATGCTTATAATGTGATACACTTTCCATACATCTCATAAACATTCATTAAGCAAAATTTGGCGACGAGGATGGGATTCGAACCCACGCGTGCAGAGCACAATGGATTAGCAGTCCATCGCCTTAACCACTCGGCCACCTCGTCACGTGATATACTACATAGACAATAGGAGTACATTGTTTTCAGGTCACGATATCCAACCATCGCGTAAGTGTGTATTGGTGCATGCTGATATCATGGGTATCTTTTATTAGCTTCATAGTAGGTGAATTATATTTGCTTGCTTGTCCAAATAACCAATATTCATATGGTAATGCGTGTTTATATCTATAATTTCGCCGATGAGTCAATGCAATAGCGATATGATACGCCCTCTATGGTGGAGTCTCAATATTACATTAAATGGCGAATCTCCGAACTGTTGCACTGGTGTTTGCCGAGAATTGAGAGCGGGATGTCAAAAGACATCAAAAGAAGCGGTTGAATTTAAATATTTTCACGTGACATACAATGTTGTATTGCGTTGTAGCCTTGAAAATAATGGACGCTGGCGGACATTACTATTCTTTCTGTATAACATTGCGACCAGAATCAATAGAATATAGTCATTGTTTTGTGGCATATTTATACGCACTTTAAATTATTAAACATATAACCCACTTCATTATTCTACTAGCTGTATACGTAGTACTTCACAATTACAAATCAACGCATTGTCATACTTTTGATATCATGAGTTGTTTGTACATAAAGCATTAGTTAATGAGTTTAGTTTCCAAACGGCCGGAAGTTTAGAAGGACAGTTCTAAAAAGGTGTTTTGTGTTAAATGAAATCACTGAAAGTTACACCATGTTACTAATGTTGAAAATGGACGTGCAATTGTGTACAAAAATACAAATATGCTATCAACCACAGTTATAAATCATATGTGCATCAGACTGGGCTGAATCCCAGGGGGGTACTCCAAGTCAGACCTGATACCAATCCTGAGTATAGCTTTTCAAAAAAGCCTTCAAACACGTACTTATTTTTGTGAAATTATACCCCTTTTCAAGGCCATGCAAATACGTAAAATAAATACCTTATATACATACTAAAATCACACTGTCTCCAAGTTGAGGTATCATGAATTCATGGGACCCTTTTTTTCGCAGTTTATTTATATATTTAAAAATATTCGACCCTAAACACGGTACACGCGTCAAATAACTAAATAGCAATACTTTTGTATGGAAAGCCATGACTGTCTTAAGTTCACTTATATCATGTTATGGGGTCCATTTATTATGTTTTGGTGTACATTCTACATGACATCGTGTGCATTCATCATGTTATGGAGTGCATTCATCATGTTATGGTGTTCATTTATCATGTTATGGTGTGCATTCGTCATGTTATGGTGTTCATTTATCATGTTATTGTGTGCAACCATCATGTTATGGTGTGCATTCATCATGTTATTGTGTGCAAACATCATGTTGTGGTGTGCATTCATCATGTTATGGTGTGTATTCATCGTGTTATGGTGTTCATTTATCATGTTATTGTGTGTATTCATCGTGTTATGGTGTGCATTCATCATGTTATGGTGTGTATTCATCGTGTTATGGTGTGCATTCGTCATGTTATGGTGTGTATTCATCGTGTTATGGTGTGCATTCATCATGTTATTGTGTGTATTCATCGTGTTGTGGTGTGCATTCATCATGTTATGGTGTGTATTCATCGTGTTGTGGTGTGCATTCATCATGTTATGGTGTGTATTCATCATGTTATGGTGTGCATTCGTCATTTTATGGTGTTCATTTATCATGTTATTGTGTGCAACCATCATGTTATGGTGTGCATTCATCATGTTATTGTGTGCAAACATCATGTGGTGGTGTGCATTCATCATGTTATGGTGTGTATTCATCGTGTTATGGTGTACATTCATCATGTTATGGTGTGCATTCATCATGTTATTGTGTGCAAACATCATGTTATGGTGTGTATTCATCGTGTTATGGTGTGCATTCATCATGTTATGGTGTTCATTTATCATGTTATTGTGTGCAACCATCATGTTATGGTGTTCATTTATCATGTTATGGTGTTCATTTATCATGTTATTGTGTGCAACCATCATGTTATTGTGTGCATTCGTCATGTTATGGTGTTCATTTATCATGTTATTGTGTGCAACCATCATGTTATGGTGTGCATTTATCATGTTATGGTGTGCATTCATCATGTCATGGTGTGCAATCGTCATGTCATTGTGTGCATTTATCATGTTATGTTGTGCATTCATCGTATATGTATTATGTTATCTTATGAATCAAATAAATGTATCCCAGTATGCACTTTGTCTGGGCATGCTCTGTGAGGTTACAGCTCAAATGCATCATGGCGTCTGAAATAAATAGGATCCTTGAAAGACTTAATCTTGGACATCTTTTGAACAACTTTGTGAGTGAGGAGATTTCTGCTGATCTGGTATGCAAACTGTCAATATTTGAGATGAAAAGGCTTGGAGTAGTGAATAGTAGTGACATGATGGCTTTGCGACTAGCATGTACTACCTTTGGAGGAAGAGCACCAGTCAAAATGCAAGGGGATTTCGGAGGTGCACCTAAATTCTTTGTTGCAAAATCAATATTGAAAAATCTGTTGGATGATAAATTTTACATTAAACATTATCTTCTTAGGTCCGAGTCCGGCCTTGAAGAGTATCCCTTTCTCAGCAATTGTTGGAATCATTTGGGCATGTCGGTCAGCCAAACAAACGACATTTACTGTCCAGGTCCGAACTCGCCCAGCATTTCTACCTGTGCCAGATCGCCTTCCTCTCCCAGTCCTCTGTCGACTAACTCTGGTTGGATTGAAAAGTATGTTTCTTTCATGGCGAACACTGGCTGCCAGAGATCCACTACCACGACCTGGTGATTCAACGTTATCAACATGATCGGTGTATTTCGCACATCGCTCCTTGAACCTTATTCGGACCCCCAATGGTAGAAATTCCGAGGCGAATTAATTCATTATCCGTCATTGATGACACAATGTGTGGTTCTATTCGCTCCTCATT